CGGCCAACCAAAGGAGGTGGGGGGGCTGCCACTGAGCGGCAGCAGTGTGTGCGTGGGGGGGACCCAGCTGCTTTTGAGCAAGAGAGGCGACCCCCACACTGGCCCACACCCGTCTCTTTCCCCCCAACTCACAAAGAGCAGACAAAGGTGCCGGCTGGGCTCCTACGCCGAATGTCTTCATACTCTTCATAGATGCCCCGTTTCTGCTTGTGGCTGACGTGATCCAGCAGCTCCTGGAGGGTGACGGACTTGGGCCCAGGGACGTGGACAGAGCCGTTATCTTTGGGGGTCACCAGCGGTACCAGGATGAGCTCATCCAGGGGGTCGGGGTGCCCGTTCTGCTGGGGCAGGAACCGGCAGGGTCTGGGGTCCAGTTTGAGGGACCCTCCAAGGTACTCAGGGAGGCACTCCCGGGGCAGGTGCTCCTTCAGCTCTGACATCTTCACCATCTGCACCTGTGGGAGGAAGAGGAGGAGCAGGGGTGACTCCCAGAAGGATGGAGAGGGTTCACTGGGGATGGGAACAGGGATGCCAATGGTCTGGCACGGTCCCAACGGAGCCCAGAGATTTCCCCCAACAGCATCAGGGTCTTCCCCCTTTCTCCCCTGCCCCGGGAGGGACACCAGCGGTGGGGCAGGCTCCCTCATGTACCTGGGGTGGGAGCCCACACTGACACCCAGCTCTGAATTTGCAAGCGGCTCTGAGCTCCTCCCAAAATCACATGGGCAGAGTCCAGCCCAGGGAGACATTGGGCTGGAAACTGGCTCTATCAGCGGCACCGCTGATACTGAGGATACTGTTTTAGGTATTTTTAGCTTTGACAGATAGGGCCCGAGCACAGGTATTTAAGTTTCCCTTTTCTCCTGTGTGCTCAGCAGGTTTCCTTTCCTTTTAATCATTTACCATTGCCTCCATTGCTGCTGCTGGCAGCCTCACCACAGAGGAAGAAATTGCAGGCGATTTCAAAAGGGGTTCAAGATATTTGCTGAAAATACTGAAACAGCTTGGCCCCTATGAAACCGGCTGAGAAAACCTCCGTTTCCCACAGATTTGGGCTCAGCAGCTTCCATCGGACAGGGCTGAGGGGCACAGGCTGCTTGCACCACCCCGTCCCAAAGGGAAAACAGCCTCAGCCCTCCCCACCGATGGTCCCATGCCGGCGGGGCCCACGCTCACCCGCTCCCGCAGCTTCTCCTTCAGCAGCAGGCTGATGATGGAGTAGGGCACGCGAAACCACATGGGTGCTCCCACGATGAAAACCTTCTTGAGCCGAGCTGGGAAGGCACCCTGCGGGCAGGAGGGAGTCAGATCCACGCTGCCGGGGAGGAACCTGCCCCTCTCCGTGCTCTGCTGGGGGCGGGGACACGTCCCGGCAGAGGTGACGACCAGCAAAGGGACGCCGAGGTTGCAATGCCGCATCTGAAGCGTGCCTCACACACAGCCCATGGCCCATGGCCACGCTTATTTTTATCCTCCAATATGGAAACAAATTATTTCCTTGGAATTAGGTAGGCAGAGGGTTTGGCTCTGCGGGGGAGAGGTGAAGCCTGGGAGCTGGGATTTGGGCAGAGAACACACCCCGGCCAATATTTACTGTTATTTCTTTTTTCCGGAGAAGGGAGGAGGCACAAAATGCCAGCACGATTAAAAAATAATTTGCATCTGTTTTCCCAAAAGCACTGCCAGCAGCTGCGAGAGAAATCCGGCGCAGGGACAGCTGATCCCCTCCCACCCGCGGGACACCACAGTCCCGGCCGGGTCCGGCCTGGCAGGCTCCCAACACCTTCCTGAGGTCCTACGGGGCTGGAGCTGGTGCTCCTCAGCCAAGACGTGGCCAGTGTGGTCTGGCACGAGAATTTATGCCAAAACCACAGGACTTCACGTAGTCGGTGAGCAAGTGGCCTGCGTGACATCCCCAGACACCGGGTCACCCCTGGCCATTACCTTCAGCAGGTTGAGGATCTTCTTGCTGAGGTCCAGCTCAAAGTTGGTGTACTGTGAGCCCGCCATGTCATAGATGAACACTAGCCCGTTCCTCTGGGTTTCAAAGCTGAGGGAGGGGAAAGAGCAACATCAACCCTGCAACATCCAACTGCTCGGCTCCTGCTTAAAAGATCTGCCCCACGCTAACCTCATCTTCAGCTTGCTGACCCCAAAAAATCCCCTCTGTGCTTCCGGAAGGATTCACGAACCCAAGGCTTGCTTCTGCATTTCCCAGCTACTCCACCACCTCTTCCTATAACTCTTATTTACGCCTGGCTCATGTCTTCAGCCTGTCTCAGCTGCACCACCCATGATGGGTAAGTTCAGAAATGGAAAGAGCCCAGCAGGATGAATGGGACGTCTCGGCTTTATATTTTTGGCAGGGCTCATGTTACATCTTGCCAGCAGCAGGGCTGCCTCCTCCCCGGCCAAAGCCTGCGGGAATCGGGGACTTTGCTAAACTGAAACCTGGACATGGGCAGGGAAGGGTTGCAAAGAGCCTGGTTCAGGGCCCGGGGGATTTTGTTCCCCTGCCGAATGCCTCCATGGGGATGACTGGCTTGAGTTCAAACCAGAGGAAGAGAATTTCAAGCCGCAAGGAGCTGAGACCCCCTTCTCCTCCTAACTAGAGATGGGACACCTGGAGGCACGCAGACAGACTCAGCCACAATTTCATCTTCAGGAATTCACGTTCACAGGGGAGAAGGCATATCTTTTCCCTGCGAAGCCTTTCAGAGGAATTTCACCAAAACCTCAGCAAGCAACAGCATCTCCCCTCACCCCTGGGAGGGAAGGGGCTCCCTGGGGACCCGCTGCCGTAAGACACAGTACCCCGGCTCACCTCTCCACTGCTCGGTCCAGCAGGTAGAAGAGTGCCTGGAGCACCACGTGCTGCACACTCTTGCTGGGGTGGTGCAGCTTGGCCGTGAAGAGGGCGATGGAGGCTCCTGAGGGGTCCCGCACGCTCTGGCGAGGAAACAAGGTCAGGCTCCCATAGCATCCAAGGATGCCCGTGGGGAGCAGAGCCAGGACGGGCCACCTGGCTGGGGTAACTCAGGGGGGACACAACACCCCCACCTACCAGAATGGTGAACTTGCCGCTGAGCAGCTCTGAGCGCAGCGGCTCCTCATGCGGCTTCAGCTTCACAATGCCCTCTTTCAGCCGCGTCTCCTGCGGGCAGGGAGCTGGTGTGACAGCCAGCCCGGGCACCCCAGCCCTCCACCCACCATCAGGTCCCCGTGGGGCACCCAGCCCTCCGAGGGAAGCCCCAGCAGGGAAACCTCTGCTTCACAGCCCCATTTTCCAGCATGGGGAGGAGCAGCTTTGCAAAACCAGCATGGGAAGGGTATATATGCATGTATATCCTTTATATATGGGGAGATGCTCTGCAGGCATCACACGCCAGCTGGGAGGGCACCCTGCGAGCACGCATGCTGCTCTCTGTGGAGGGGAGGAGATTGGGGTCGGCGAGATCTCCATGGTGACTCGCCTTGGCTGAAAAAGGATTTTCCAGTTGGATAAAACCCATAAGGAAGGGTGGGAAAAGAAAAAAAGCAAGGGGAGGGTCTTCCTTGGGACCAGAGATCTTTTACAGAACAGGAAACCCTCGGCCAGGGGGGACCTGGCCCTGCTTGCTTACCCGGTAGGAGTGAAAGAGCTCGATGGCCCGCAGGACATCGAACTTGCGGGCCATGAGGAACTTGACAGCCACGTTCCAGGAGAGCGGGGACACATTGTACTGGCCCGTCCACTTGTTGATCTCCTCCAGGAACTGCTTGGTTGCCTGTGGGAGAGACAAGGAGCCTGCAGTGAGATGGGGTGGGAGGAGGAGGAGGAGGAGGAGGAGCACCCAAGGAGCATCCCTGGTCACTGTGGGACCTACACGGTTCTCGGTGAGCAGGCAGGGGCTGAGCACGGTGCGGCAAACCCAGCAGCAACTCGGGATGAAGCAGGGAGCTCTACTGGTCCTGGGAAAGGGAGTAAGGGCAGTGGGGATGGAGATAGAGGAAACACCAGTGCAGGAAGGGAAGTAAGCGGTAGGAGTGCTGACATTGGAAAAACGGCCTTGGGGCTGGGGGAGAGTCGTGGAAGGGAGAGGGGGAGCGACAGGAGGATTTTACAGGCAGCAAACTCCCGTTCAGACACAGCAGCTGGGGCGCTGCAGGAACCCATCAGCTGGCAGCAGCCTCCACCGCAGAGCAGCAAACCCCAACATGTGAACACTGGTAACGAGCAAGACTGGCATCAAGGGCCAACACTTTGACATGCTACAGGACACGGACCAGCACACCCAGTAAGGCCAGTTTCACATGGCCAAAGACCACCAGATGAGAACAGTTCAGTCCAGGGGGGTCTCAGGACACTCCCACTGCTCCCCACAGCCCATGGTCCCATAACACACCAGGGACATCCCGCACAAGCACGCTCCCCTCCCGAAGCACTGGCACTGCAGGAACCCAAAACAATGACAAACCGAGAAACTTTTCCAACCCTAGTGCTGACAGAGCAGAGTCGCAAAACCCAACCTGCAACCTCCCAGCAGGCTTAAAGCCCTGAAGGCGAGCAAAATAACCCCAAAACGTATTATTTGTACAGGCTGTGTTTGCAAAGTGGGCTGGGAGTTTCTGAACGCCTGTGCTAATGGAAGCAGCTTTGCTTTCTGCTGCGTATTGACCCCCTGTCCCATACAGGACCCTGAGGGAGACACGGCAGCACAGCCCAGCCTCCCACCACGTACCGCTCAAAGGATGCGGGCAGGATGGAGGGAGTCCCTGAAATGCCCCGCTCCCACCTGGGCACATCCCAAAACAGAGGAGTTTCCATCCTCACAAGAGTGCAGGATGATGATGACAGCGCGGCTCCTGAGCAGGGAGGGTAGGAAGGCAGCAGTGTTGGATGTCATGGAGTAACTGGGAGCTATTCAGCCAGAAAAGCGCATCAGCATTAATGACTTCCGACGGGAGGAAGCGAAAGGATGGGGTTTATCAGCGGCGCAAGGTTTGGCGGGGGCAGCGAGCCCCTCTAGTGGGACAAGCTGAGGGAGCCCGGCTCGTCCGAGGGGTCTCTCCACAGCCTGCCTGGCATCGCAGCAGGCATTTTTGGAAGGGCTACTGGCTCG